GGCAGATGAAGAACAGAGAAGAAGGGAAGGGAATAAAGACCGAAGAAGATTAAAGGAAGAAAACCTAGTGCACTGACTCCTCATTAGTGAGATGATGAACTACTAATTATCTCTTACTTTCAAAGACAATGCATCCCTAATAAAGTTCTTCTCTTGTAAAATGACCTTAGACGTTACATGGGTCCGTACTCTATCAGATGCTTCGTAATCAGGGCGGAATACCTTAAAAGCAGAAAGGTCTAGAGCGTGATAGCACGCGACATTTTTGTCGTGCGCAATCAAAACTTTTCTTGAAGGATCAAGGCTTGTAGATGAATTTAATTACCAAATGTGCCCAAGTGGGACAGCATCGACGCAATAGCCACGCCCTCGACGATAAACCGTAAGATATATGCGCCACTGGAATGATACATGCTAACAGTGTTAATGACAACCAACAAAATATACTAACAAATACGTACTCAGCTGCTACAGTAAACATACGTAAGGTCATGTTTACAAAGTACTTTAAACAAGATTCAAACGAAATATCATAACTACGTTTGGAGCAAAGCTTACAGAAATTTGGCAGAAAAGGACTGTACATCCTCTACTCTAAGCAATGCATCTGCAACCTTAAAACTAAATACTCTAAAACAAATGAAAGGCATGATTAAAAATAAATTTACTTCTTGACCAGAGACTAGCCTCAGTGTTCGAAACGATATACAGACTTCAATTACATCCGACAGTGGATGGTCATTTAAGATAATCTCAAGCAATTATTGGATAATTAGTTATTCTGATGAAAGATGACCGGCACAACACATAACGGCAAAAATATCCTCATAACTGCAAACAGTTGCCCAGAAAAGTCTTTAATAGCCTATAGGCTTCCATGATGTGAATAATCATAACAATAACCATAGTAAAGAACACAAAACAAGACAAGAGATAAGGTTGGTACCACACAAACGGTGGTCGTTGCCGTCGCCGTCGCGTCGCTTCGACGTCGCCGTGGCGATGGGCCCGCGATAATGTTATCGCTGTCACGTGGCTGCCAACGCTTCTCACATTGGCCAATTAAATAATATCATACATCAACTTAAATTGTACCTACACTGTTCTAGAAACATGCATTATTTACAGAACCTGCATAATATAAGTATGACTACGGCCGTTCCATTTTAGATGTTAAAATATAATAAACTACTAAATATTATTAAGCTCTATTATTTTTTAAATTGACATAAACTTGAAGCGTGATGCGCCAATAGCTTAATAGTTAAGGATACGGGTTACCAATCTAGCAGTCGTGGGTGTTTTCCTCCCCTTTCGTCTATTATCGTAAACATATCTCAAGCAATATGTATGTAATATCGAAAAATAAAATATAATTCGTAAACACGATGTATTTGCGCAGAAAAAAAAAATAATTTGTCTGCCGGCCTGTACGCAAGGCCGCATTTGTTTCGGGTATCCTCAGAAATGTCTGGACCGATTTCAACGGGACTTTGACGGGAAGATAGCTGATGGATACTGGCATGTTAAAGACTACTTTTTTAAATCTGCACTGTCAAGTTGCGGGCTATTGTTAGTTTTATATATATTTCTGATTTAAATAAGATTACCCATGTATCATGCAACATTAACGTAATGTGTAGAGGATATCTGTGCCAGTATAATAGGCTGCTGTTTATATAATTTTAATTACAACATTTATTATGTAACATATTCGAATAGATGTTAATCGCTAAACTAATTAGAGTACAGCACTCGGAAAGTTTTCTCCCTTAGACAAAGGCAGTGGAAAATGCAATGACGCTATCTCTGAGTAAACACTACTATTTCATTAGGAATATTTTCGCATCGCACGTCAAAAGATGTATCTTACTAATATTATAAATGCGAATGTTTAGATATGTAGATGGATGTCTACTAGAACCTATCTGTAGAACGGCTTAATTGGCTGCAATTAAATTTATTACACTTAAGTTTTTTTTATATCACGCGTACGAAGTCGCAGGCGACAGCTAGTTGGTTTTTTATCCAGTATTGGAGCAAATTCGAAATTTGTTTGGTTGTGATTATGTCATCGACCCTTCGTGAATCTCGACTTTTTACAATTTGCCTAGACAACTTACAAACAAACGGCATTCATGATGAGTCGTTGATAAATCAAATTATAACCCATACTACTGACAGGAGTGTATTTATTATATTTATGCCCATTTGTGGCTTGACTCATTATTAAAATATAATAGTGTTCCTCTAGACTATTATATGTTCTACACCTATGCCTAAAGTCTTAAATAGATCCGTTTTGCCGTTCTGGAGATACATTGAAACAAAAATCTATCCATCCATCTAAACTTTTGTATTCATATTACTTAGATTCACTTTGTGTAACTTGATTTTACAATTGAACAACTTTATGTAAAACTAGCTGTCGCCCGCGACTCCGTCTCGATTTACTTAATAAGAAGCCTACGTGTTTTCCAAATTTCATCGAGATCCGTTCAACCGTTCTAGATACCTTCAAACAAACGTATATCCATTTAAACGGTCGCTATCGTCTGTTAATTATATGTAGGCAATGTTGATGGTAATTTTGTATAAAGCAACTTCAAGGCTGTATTTATAATGCAAGCGATCACACAAACAACTTGTGTAAACAACAAATTAATATCACAAACAGTGACACGTGGAACGTTGTGTCACAATTAAATTGTCTTAGTATTATAATCTGTGTACTAAGATGTATACACTAATATAAAACCTTTTTGCACAAGATACTTTTGGTACTATAATTGTCATGTCATGTTTTTTTTCTATGCATAGAGGCATTATATATTTTTATTCTATGCTTCTATGTCTGACAGAACTAAACGCGATAGCAGCGCCCCTCTCACCGGGTTAGATATCCTTGTTTGATAATGTTGTAAATTGGTCGATTAAGATAAAATAATATAGGTCAAATAGTAAATAAGTAAAACAATATGATACAAATTATAAATATATAGTATTAACAGCGATTATAGGTTGTTCATGAATGAAGCGTAATGTGAAAAGCGTTTTTCTAAAGTTACAATAATTAAATCTCGGTATACAAATGGTTACAACATGGTTATATCTGTGCACAAACATATGGTCGCGTCCAAATGCATTGAATTAACAGAACCTTTTTGATATCTTCTTTCGACGTAAAAACTTATGGTGAAATGCCACCCCCAGTACTGATAATAGCTTCGAAAGTTTCGCAATTGCTACTGAGATTAGAGTACAAGATACTATACAGAAAAGTATACAGTGATATCTGATATCTAATACACTTTTATCACCAATAACGTCTGATCGGTAAGATAAAAATCAATAAAAACCAAAATATTTAGGTCAAGTTCAAGAGTATGTTGGGATGAGTTACACAATTGCAATGATTACATTGCGTAGTTTGTTTGACGTTAAGTATCCGATAGTAGAATAGATTCCATTGAACGGCCGGGAGGCAGGCTAGCCAGTCATGAGAGACATGCGTGTGTGTCATGCAACGCGCACGCCGTAAGCGCATGGCATGGCCGACGCGCGTCTGACGGGCACGCTTAAACGAACACCGCGGAAATAATACCAAACTCCCGGCACACTAAAATACATATCACGAAACCAACGATTATTCGACTCAATGTCAAGGTTAACCGTCTACTTCAGTTTGAAACGGTTTTAAATTATCACCCGTAACATTACATATAACCTCAAACTTTTTTCATGCATTTTTTTCATAATAATGTGACAATAGCTTTCACAATAGATAGAAATCTCTCAAGTGACTAATTACTTAAAGTTATTTATTTATCAGACTTAAAAGTCTCCAATTTCAGATAAGTTGTTAACAATTTCTTAACATCAGTTTCAGTGAACCGATTTTTTTTAACTATATGTTAAGCGTGAGCTACATCAGTGACTTTAAAGTTTGTTGTGACACCAGAAATAAAAAAGAAGTACTTAGTTCTAGACAAACTAAGTATTAAAATAAAATTAAAAGCTGCATCTTTTAGTGAAAATTATTTCAGTGTGCGAAAAGAAAAAAATGTTAAGTAATTAGGCCAAAAATAATTTGAGCAATTTTTAAAAGGACGGAAAGACAAACACCAATCCATGATTCTTTACAGCAGTAATTACGAGCAATTAACTCCACGAATATAAATTCAAAGGTTCAGAGGAACGGCACTGAAAATATTTTTAGTTCTCTTATAAACATTTTACGTTGAATTACTTAAGCTATATAACTTAACCGTAATATTATGTAGGTGTAAACAATAATTAAACACTGGTAATTATATAAATTATCTTGTAATATTATTATTGTAATACATTATTAATAATATTGTATTATCTTACAGTGAAAAGACAGAAATCAAAGTGCCAAATGTTGCAATAAGTAAAAATATTTTTTGCAAGATCAAAAAGAAAATCTATCTTGAGATTGACAAAAACTTAGTTAACTTTACATTTGAGTCCTTTTTGACGCAGATAAGCAGACAAATTAGCATAATTATACCTATAAAAGTAACTAAATACAATAATATTAATTAAGCAAGTCTGTGAATACCAACACGCTCACACATCGGACACTTAAAAAAATTGCGAGTCTATTCGGATAAGATGCGAGACGAGCCTCGAGCGGGCACAAGGCAGTAGTGATAACCCCTGCACATCGGCTGAGACCTCCGACATCGGCAAACGCAAGTGAGAACTTCACCCTTTTGCGACGCGTCTCGCGTAATCTATAAAGCCAACCGGCGCACACAAAAGAAACAGTCCGCACTCGATCACGGCCGATGATGCTTTGTTAATAAACGAGTTAATTTTTTTAAAACCCTAATCTTTTGCAATGTCACACCGTAAAACACTAAAACAGTGAATTAAGTCCAAAATAATTTAAAAATCCCACCATTTTGTATGCGCATGCGTTTGAACTGCGCTGTGATTGGTCGTGTAGAGGAACGTACCGAAAAAAAAGCGACATGAGTGTAACCAGTAATTGTGTCAGTCGCTCGACGTGCAACAGCAAGGGTAGTATGATTGTTGTTTCGAATCGCCTGCCCTTTGTGTTAAAAAGAAATGAGAAAACCGGTGAATTAGAGAGAAAAGCCAGGTAACTTTCTGTTTTATGTTACTAATATTTTGTACACACAGTATTATTTACATTTGCACCAAAAGATTGTTATTCTTAATTGCGATGTTTTTGTTGTGACAGTGTCTTATATATTTTGTTAATACCTTATCAATTACATTTAAAGGAATAATGTACCACATATCATTATATCCATTACGTAATTATTACAATGTAATTTTATACCAAGATAAGTAAATAACTATAAACAAATTAAATGTTTTCTGTAAAAAAACAAACTCAACAATTAAACTAATGTTTAGTTAGTAACAGAATCTTATTAGAAATCTTAGAACCAAGTAACCAAAGCATCACGTTTTGGTACAAATGCGCCAACCGCCGGTAAATTTCGGAAAGGTTCGGGAAATTTCTGCGAATCCATAACATTCGAGAGCAGTGTTGGGTTACGTTTCTGTAATAGCAAATTGTATTGATTATGCATTATTGTTTTTTGTTGAGTTATTTTTACAAAGATAATATAATACAGTATCCTAACAATAAAGAAACTTTGACAATCGAATTGACAATTTAACATCGGTAAAATAATTACGTTATTATCTTTAAGCGATCTTTAACAAGATTGTATGAACACCAAATAACTATGTATAATTAAAAATAATTTGTGTACCTATACTCTTTCACTTTTGAATCGACGTTTCGTATTGATTTACCTTTCTTTCTGGCTTTCATTCAATTTTATTTCAGCTTAGCCATCTTGATTATGACACGAGTTTTTTTATTATAAAATCGAGGTTATGATCTAAATAGGATAATTGTTCATTTAATTATCAAATAATTTACCTATAACTTTACGAGGAAATCCCAACTCATTTATAGTTCTTTCATTATTTTTCTAAAATATTTCACATATTAATGAAAATGAAACAAAAGTTTTCGTCTATTTGGAAATATTTCTTTATAATTAAAATAATCGCCATTTTAATAAAATAGTTATTAAAAGATTGATTGCTGTTTGTTATAAATAGTCTATAATACCAAAGTTAAAATGAAAAACATTTTTAAAAATCTTCTTGATCGTAATAATTATTTGCTCTAGTTCCGTAACATTATCAAATGTTTACTTTAATACTGAATCTATTATTTAATTAACATTTTATATAACTAAATGATCTCACTATCAAACGCGCAGATAAAATCCAACGTCGTAAAAAAATAGAAATAATAAATCGCAATATATTTTAGACGGATTATTTTACTAAATAAAACGCAGTAAGCAATATCTCAATCAGAACTTAATCACTCCCAATATTTGGTTTATACGTCGCAATTAAATATAACTGTTGGAGTGCATTTAGAGTAGGTTTTTTTTACTAAATAATGCACCTCCGTCCTTATCCCACTCATACAGGGTCAGCGCGTGACGTTTTATAAACATGAATGTTTTTTGATTTAATTTTTACAGCTGACCGCCTTGTTGCCAACCCTAAATAATTGTAAAATAAATACAGTCGAACCAGGATAACCGCTAGTTATTTGGTCAGCGTTATTTTGTCAACTTATGGAAGTTTCTCTATTACCCGAGTTTCTCGCTTATAGACGCTATCCTTTGAGACCAATAATGATCTCGCTTATAGAGGTTTTGTGGTTATCTAAGTTCAACTGTAATTTTAGCTTACACATATTACACTGACACATATTGTCGTCTCTGTTTGTTGATATAGGAATGAAAGGGATGACGATATATTTTGTACAATTTAATATTGACAGTGGAATCATACATTCATATTGTACTTTTAAATTAGTCTGTTTAAATATTTTATGCGTACGACCTCTAAACTGACCTATTTTAATGTCGCGCAAGGGGACGCATATTCTCTCAGTCGAGTCCCCTCCTGCATAATGTCTGCACTTAGAGTGACATTGTTTAACCTCGGACTTTTTACTCCTGATATTATTTGATACGAATATTTAATGATATACTAAGATGAATATCATCACATTTTTTGCTTACTTCATCTGCATAGTTATTCTTTTAAAACATCATTTGCTTTTTTTGTTGTAGGCGTTATAACCTGCCTGATTGATTCACTTCTTTGTTTTGAAAAAGGTTTTACGATCGCGTCATAACAAAATCAATAGGTCTTTTATAGACACAAATTACCTTAATTCCTACATTCGAACCAAAGAGTGAGTTGTGTATATGTAAAGGCGAAATAGTATCCTTAATTTATACTGTCATACTACAAAACTATAAAGAATTAAATTATGAACAACGTTCTTTTCGTTCTATGGAATATTTCTTAGTTGACAAAGGTCGTACGGTTTGAGTACAACGGTCTTTTGCATCGGTAAACCTTTACTACAATAATATTAATTAAAATGATCTACGATTGCATTTTAATCTATTATTCTCTATCTTATACTTGTTAATTAGTAATCGTAATCTATTTTTCTGTAATTTCAATCATGTTTAAGTTTGTGTTTCTTTTATGTTTACATTGGTTATTAAAAAACATATATCTTTCGTGTTTAAAATTTGTTAAAAAATATTATCGCGTATTTTTTTTGCTGTGTGCTTTTTAACAATAGTACCGTCCATCAATTTAATGAATAAACTTTAATACCTCTTACTACATATTTATTCTGGAAAAGCAATATTAAAGAAATAGTTATTATCTGTCAAAAATTATATTTTTTCTGATATGTTACGGCTAATGACATTCAATGTCAGCCAGAAATAGACCACATGACTTTCCACAATCAACACAAATGTCATAACCACAGCGATTGATTAAAACAAATATATTTGTAAACGGAAATAATATTGCTAATTTACTTGGCAAATATGTATTTTATACAACTATTATAATGAACCATAATCCAAAGACCATTTTGGCAATAAATATGAAAAAA